TGAGAGAGAGGATCAACAGGTTTACGTTGCAAACCACTCAATTCATGAAAACTATACAAATCACTTTCAATCAATAGGAAAATTCTTTTTTTTTTAATTTAATTTTAATAAGTAAGGGTATAATGGTCATTTCATCGTATATTGATTAATATTGGAAGGTAATAACTACTGTTAATTATGGAAATGTATTAATGTAAACGTTTCATATGGAATGATGTAAATCTTTTTTCTTAATATAATTTTTTTACCATTAATTTTTTATTATTATTTTATTAAATTATACTTATTAAAATATGAATTCTAAAAGCAGTAGAATATTAAATATGTGTTCGTTTCATTTCTTGAAACAGTTTCATTTTCTGGAAACAGTTTCATTTCTTGATTTAATGAAACAGTTTCATTAACGGTTATTGAATTAGTATTGAAACAAAAAAAAATGATATACTTTCATTTCTTGATTTAATGAAATAAAATCTTTGTTTTAGTATTCAAAATGTTTCATTATTTTTTGTTGATTATAGTATGTTTTATGTTTCATAATTTATTATGATATACCTAATTCATTGTAGGTGACAAGAAATGAAACTGTTTCACCCTTTTATAGAACGAACTCACGTGACTCCTTGTCACCTACAATGAAAGACGGACCGGTTGTCATGTAGTATTGAACGATAATTGCAAACTGTTTTATTAACGATTATTGAATTAGTATTAGACTATTAATAATTTCTAATCAAAATAATTTTAAAACATGGGAAATCCTAATAAACGATGAAACATATAAATACTGAAACATTTTTTAAAAATTTAATTAAACATTTTGAAAACTGAATACTTTTAAATTTAATGGACGTTTTTCATGCATAAAACGTTCCGAAATATTAATAAATTAAATTCATCAGTGAAATTGTGTTCATGATCACTATTGAACATGACATTCGTTTCATTACTCAAAGTACATATTTTTTCAATGAAAAGAACACATATTTCATATTCTACTGCTTTTACAATTCATATTTTAATAACTATAATTTAATAAAATAATAAAAAATATTAATGGTAAAAAATTATATTAAGAAAAAAGATTTACCTCCTTCCATAAGAAACGTTTCTATTAATACGTTTCCATTAATACATTTCCATAATTAACAGTAGTTATTAAGATATACCTAATTCATTGTTGGGGATTTGACAAATTTGCCCTCTTTGTAATTAAAAATTAAATTTTTTTTTATTTCCTAATATAAATTCATTTAATATTGACCATTGATGGAGAAAATAGATGGATGAGATTGGTTTGTAAGATTTTCACAAATGAGGGTGGTTTGCAATTGATCCCCCCCTATACATACATACATACATACATACATACATACATACATACATACATATATACATACATACATATAGCCATAGGTTCATTTGATCAGATAATTCGGTAGCATGGTAACAACTATGTAGAAGATAAAAGGGTAGTTTCATAACTTTTATAAATAGACGGCAAACAAGTGCATATGTGAACCCGTGTGATTCACATATGAACTATATGTGTATGTATGTACCTGTGTGATTCACATATGAATTATTTAACTGGTTTACAATGAACTATATGTTAATATGTGAACTCGTGTAATTCACATATGAACCCATGTGATTCACTTATGAACTACTTAATTGATTTGCATATGAACTATTTAACTAATAGACATTTGAACTCGTGTGATTCATATATAAACTATTTAACTAACTCACATATAAACCCAAGTGATTCACATATGAACTATTTTAAGTCATTCATATATGAACTATTTAATTGATTTACAGATTAATCTTAGATTCACATATAGCATTATAGTTTTAGGATCAAAAACAACATCTTGCTCAAGATCGCTTTCTGAATACAAATTCATATTGCGATATATGATAGAGAAAGAATTGAGAGAAAAAAAAATCAATGATAAATTTCCATAAAACTATATTTGATTTGTTTGAATTGTTAATGGGTTTGATTTGTTCGAGTCGAGGAGATGAAATCGTTTAAGAGAATTGGGGATCATTCATTACACATTCGCTTACTGAAAGTTATTGATAGTTTACAACTTAAAGTTTAAAAAAACATACAAATTTTCATTATATATTAATGTAAGATGAGTTGTCATAATTTGAATCGAGTTGCTGGTTTAGGCTTAGTTAGGTGTTAGAGATGTAACCAAGGTTACGTTTGATTCTATGAATCGAGATGCACTTAGTGAGATAAATTAATGTGGAAATACCATCAAAAGTTAAATTAGACAGTAGCAACATGAAAAACAAATATAATTAAATAATAATTAATTTGGTGTATTTAATCAGTATAATTTCTTCCAATCATTTTTTTTATTGTATAAAAGTCTCAGTGAGATGAAATATACTCAAACAGATACCTTTAGTTCTCGTTTGGTTTGAAGGTATGAAATGGATTTGGAGGGATTTGCATTTCAAATTCATTAAAATCTCATGTTTATTTTGTTGAATTGTCTGGATTTGAAATCCTTACGGAGTGCTTGAGATTTCGTATGATTATATGCAATAAGATTTTAAAAATGTCAAAAACATTTGTTTTATAATAATCAATTAATAAAAATGTAATTCGTATATTTTTATAATATTATTCTATAAATTATTTATAAATAATAAAATCCAAAATTAATATTAGTAATTGGAATGACGCAATTGAATGGTTGGCAATCCAAATTGTATCATTGTTTTAAATCATTGAAGACCACTCCAACTATGCATCATTGTGAAATGATTGTTGCTTAATAAACAAATAAACCTTTACTTCATTATTAAAATACTTGTAATTAATATAATTAAATATAAGATCATAAACTAATAATTAAAAAAAAAATTATGTTAAAACCTTATTTTACAAAGAGTAAATCAAATACATAATTTTTCTACTGGGCCATTTACCAAATGCTTACATGGGTAAGCGCTTATCAAGTCACATTACCTTATCGGATGAATACGACAAACACCAAGAATCCCACCCGGTAAGAGCGAAGACAAGGACCGAGAGTCTTACCTGGTAAATGATGACAAAGACTCTTACCACGGTTAGCGCTTATCGGATACGTTATTACATACAATGTCGT